AGGAAGGAAGGAAGGAAGGAAGGAAGGAAGGAAGGAAGGAAGGAAGGAAGGAAAAGAAACCCAAATGCCCAATATTTAGGCAAGACTTATTGGCAGGATTCCCAGGGAGAGAAAGGAAAGGAAGAGGGGGAGAAATCAGATGCCAGGAGACCTGGAGAGAAAAGATGAGGTACAAAATAGAAGAGCCATAATTTCATATAATAGAATGTAGATTAATATAAATGGGTTAATTTAACTTACAAGATCTAGTTAGAAACAAGCATAAGCTATGTGCAAGTTTTCATAATTAATAAGAAGCCTTCTTTGGGCACTGACTTGCAGGACAGAGAAAGACTCATCACACTGACGTAGTCTCCAAAGTCAGGGAAACTAGGAGATAAAAAGCTGAGCTTAGAAACAGTCATCAAATGCCACAGTACACGGCAATGCCTTAACCACTGGCCCTGCTGATAGACCCAAGGACCTTATCCATCTTTGTAAAGAGTGCTGTCTTTCTCTCCTTGCATACAACACAGAATTTATATTTTTAAAACAATGAATGCCTTTGTAGGTAAAGAAAATAATTTTGAAAATGAAGCCCACTTCTCTCCAGACCCACTGGAAGATTTTTTTCCTGTTTTCAGTCTTTTAATGTTAACAAAATTTGCTTACAGTGAAGCTGATTATAAAAACACAGGAGTATAAATGATAACATTAAATCCAGCATCCCCACAGTGAAGAATGGTAAAAGAGCAGGTGCTATCAAAGGAAGACAATAGCCATGGTGATGACTTGTCAGCCAGATAATGGCGCCCTTAGACTGCAAAACCAAGAGCTGTTTAGGGTACTAGCTGTGAAGGGACAAAACCAACTCCATTTTGTGCTGGGCCCCAAGGTGGATATCAGCAGAGCGGGAAGTTCCCTAGCCGGCAGCCCAGCTGCTCGAGATTAATATCAGTCAAGAGGAAAATCCCCTAGACCGGAGCCAATCAGAGAGTCACCCAGAGTCACCCGTACCCCTTATGTCCATAACAATAGATTTGCTGGTTGTTGCCTTTATAAACTCTAAGAATGGTAGGGTACCTCCTCTGGCCCCCGCTGCATCAGTGTGTGAGCTGAGGTCCCTATAGCAATTTGTCCTACAAGATTAAACCTTGTTTTGGCATTTCTGTGAGTCTGTGTCTCCGGTGGTCTTCTTGGGGCTCTCTGTAATTCAGGCACAACAACTACACAGTGAAATTTTGTTGTGATCCAGCTGCCCTCACTCCCCCTGACCAGCAGGGGAACTTCCTTGTGGTCTGTAATTGACAAGGATGTTTGTGTTCTGTCTGGCCAGTGGGTCTCCATAGAAGAAGTAGAGGTATAAAAGGTTGCTGGGCAAAAAAAAAGGTTGCTGTTTTTCCACCTGAAAAGAAGCCTCTTTGTCTCAATTCCAACACCCCCAGCCAGGCATGGCTATCCAGGCTGCGCTGGCTGCAGCAAGTGGAGGTTCCACTGAGATCTGGAAAGTGGGGATTTGTGAACTGGGTCACTGGTAAATCGAGAAGCGTATTGGGGAAGGTAAAGTGTTTTTATTTTTCATCCCCAGAGATAACTCTAAGGAACATCCTCCAAAAGATAAGCAAGTATAAAGAGGCGGGAGGGTGAATTGAAAGGCCTCAAAAAGCAACTGAAACTCTTAAAGCAACAAGGCATGGAAGTAACAAGGAAGACAGCCAAAGATTTTGTACAGGAGGGGGTTTAAATGTTTCAGACTGGGAACACGCCAACTCAGATTAAAATGAGTATGTGTTTATTTATCCTCAAAGATGCTCTGAGGGTCGCCCACTGGCAGACTGGTCAGTAGGGAAGCAATAAAGAGGAGGTAAGAGGGTGAACTGAGGGCCTCAAAAGATAGAATGTATAGAGATGTATGTTATTGTGTTGATTGTGTTGTCTTTTGTGTTCTGGACTGGAGAAAGACATTTGATCTGGGAACTGCTAAGAAAGGTATTTTGTCTTTAAAATACAAGCCTAAGGATTTGATGTTTTGGAAAAGAAGTTCTGCTTTTGTCTCCACAGAGGATGAGAACCTGTGGATTCATTGGAAATTTATATGGTTTGGATCACCGAGACCCCCTGAAATGTTGGTGTAAAATATTCCCAAGAATGCAGCATCCCCACTTAGCAAGAAGTAGCTAAACAGGTTGATGACGCCCAAACTCCCTAAAAGATTGTTAAAGTGGGGCCCCTTCAATGGTTCCAGAGCAGGAGCAGCAAACCTGCTTCCCTAAGTTCTGCTCCACTCCATGCAGCAGTTTGGATCCAGAGTGAGTGCGGCTGGGGTCAGAAGGCAGCTGGAGCAGAGCTTTGCCACCACAGCTACTGCTGCCGGACTTGCTCTCTCACAGACTGTGTGGACGGCTTAGACTGTCAACCAGCTTGCTGAAAAGAGTCAGCAATGCTTTGGACATATTCAGTTGGGCATATTGACCTTGAACCAACAAGTAGCTCTGGTTCAGGAGCAAGTGGACTATCTTTGGACTTTTCAACAGTTAATCATGTTATGTGTGTTACTCATGGCGCTGTACTGCATGCTTCTGCTACTGTTGTGGAACTCAACCATCGTATGAGAGGGGTTTAGAATACTGCTTTTGTTATTTTACCACCCAGTTAGTGCATGCTAGATGGTTGCAACACTGGTCGGGCTCCTTGGCACTGTCAGTCCTGGAGATACTTGGTTTAGTGCTATGTGTCTGGGTAGCCATGGACAGGCAATAATTGAGGGCAGGATGCTACCTAAGACAGGGAATATTAGAGGGCTATTCTCCATGACAGGCAACGTATTATAAAATAAAATGGGGGGAGTTGTTGTGATCCAGTTGCCTTCACTCATCCTGACTGGCAGGGGAACTTCTTTGTGGTCTGTAATTGACAAGGATGTTTGTGTTCTTTCTGGCGGGTGGGTCTCCATAGAAGGAGTAGAGGTATAAAAGGTTGCTGGGCAAAATAAAGGTTCCTGTTCTTCCACCTGAAAAGAAGTCTCCGAGTCTCAATCCCGGCACCCCCCCCCCCGCCCCGCCCCACCAGTCTTGGCTATCCAGGCTGCGCTGGCTGCAGCAGAATTTGTAGATGTGTCTTGTTTTCTATTTGTTATTTAATAATAGTTTGCATAAGTTATCTTTATAAACAACTTTTGTGCTCCTAATATAAATTAAGTGTGATTCTCCTTTGTAGGGCGCCAAGGCACCACAACCCTGCTGTCATTTCCTGCCTCTCAAGCGGCTTCGGCCCCGCCCCGAGGCGCTTGGCGCACTTTCCCGAATGGCACGATCCAGCCACCAATCGTGAGCTGACGCATAAGATCAGGAGCGGCCAGAGCCATTCAGACTCGGACACGTCTCAGGCTTTGTTCTGCACGGCTTATAAGCCGTGCGCGCCAGGGTCCGGGGTCCTTCGCCATCAACCTCAAGTTTGTATGCTCCCAATAAAAGTACGTTCTGAGAAGAATCCTGTTGTGGTAGTCTCTTCTGCTGGCGGATGCGGCGTGCCACAAGTGGTGCCGACACCCGGGAAGTTGACATCTGGGCACCGTGCAAGGACCCCCGGCTCATCGGGAAGGATTCAGAACTTAGGCATACGGAGCGGCGGTACCGGTAAGTTCTCCAAAGGTAACAGTGACGTGCTGGTGGGAGGAATAGTCCTATCGTGGGTAGTAGCTGTGATCGTCTTAACATCATGGGGAATGACACTTCAAACCCGCGGGTCGCAGAGAGTTTTCTCCTCCCGCTTCAGCGGTTGTTGAAACAGCGAGGTCTAAAGATCTCTGATCGCTCTATAAGGGGATTCTTGGAGGACATTGACCAGGCGGCTCCGTGGTTCGGGGTGACAGGGGACGTCAATCTCCCCTGTTGGGTAAAGCTAGGACAAGATCTCGAGAAGGCTAAAGCTGAGGGGAAATTATGGCCAGGAACAAAGCCCCTTTGGCGGTTGATACGCTCTTGCCTTAAAGATGGCACGTGCATCGAAATTGTCAGCGAGAGTCGCAGAACTCTCTCTGCCCACCAGGATAGCATGTCAGAATCAAATAGCAAAAAGGAGGGAGAACTAAAAGAAAGGAAACCTAGGGATAGTAAAAAGAGCTCTAAAGGAAATAAAGAAAAGACAGACCATGGGAAAATGGGACAAAAACCCTCCGGGCTGTACCCAGTCCTGGATGAGTTTGCACACCTGACCCTCTCAGATACCTCTGAGGAGGAATTGGATCTAGAGGAGGAGGAAGAAGTAGAGGAAGTTGCCGCAGAGTATGAGCAGGGACGGTATAGTCCGGACAACTCCGATCCACCCCCATATTGCCCACGAAAGGGGCATCTGACAGGGATCCCATCCGCGCCAGTTGCCTCAGGCGCATTTTTTATAAAACCCAGTACATGGAGTCAGCTGGCCAGTGCATTTCCAGTATTTGAAGACCCCGCTACGCAGAATAGGTATCATGAGCCAGTAGGGTATAAGTAACTGAAGGATCTGGCTGAGTCGGTCAGGACGTATGGAGTGAGTGCTAGTTTTACCCTGGCCCTCATGGAGCGTCTTGCCCAGAATGCCATGACTCCTTCAGATTGGTTTGGCGTGGCTAAAGCATGCTTAACCTTGGGGCAGTATTTAGAGTTTAAATCAATTTATACTGACTTCGCCTATTCCCAGGCCAGAATAAATGTGATGAATGGGAATAAGTTCTGGACAGCAGACATGTTACTGGGACAGGGGCAGTGGATTAATAATCAGACAGCCCTCCCAGTAGAAGTCTATACACAAATTAACAAAATAGCCACACGGGCATGGAAAGCCATCCCCAACAAAGGAGAAGTGGCCGGTAATCTTACAAAAATAATCCAAGGCGCCACAGAACCATTTTCTGACTTTGTGGCGCGTATGATGGAGGCTGCAGGCCGCACGTTTGGGGACATGGACCACGCCATGCCCCTCGTAGAGCAATTAGTGTACGAGCAATGTACTAAGGACTGCAGGCGTGCCATAGCCCCGTGGAAGGCAAAAGGCTTGCAGACATGGATGAAAGCATGCAGGGAAGTTGGAGGGCCCTTGTCCAATTCAGGGTTAGCAGCGGCTGTGTTGGCGGCTGCAAAAACAGTTGGTAAAGGGCGTGGCGGATGTTTTCGGTGTGGGCAGGAAGGACATTACAAGAAACAATGTCCAAACAATGGAGGGGGGAGCAAAACAGGAAACCACAAGCCGGATGTTTGCCCTAGGTGCAAGAAAGGGAAACATTGGGCAAATGAGTGCCGGTTGGTAAAAGACATACATGGGCAGCCCATTACAACACCTCAAGGGCCAAAAGACGGGAACAGGGGCCCCCGTCCCCAGGGCCCACGAATATATGGGGCACTGCAGAACCCGTCATTTCGCCCCCCGTCACAGCCAGGAGAGCAACCTCAGGCTCTGCAGGGCTGGACATCTGTGTCACCTCCAGAGTGGTATTAACACCTCGAATGGGAGTACAGCCTGTAGAGTCAGATTTTAAAGGCCCATTACCCAAGGAC